CAGCCCAGGTATTGACTTGTGTGGAAAGAATGCATCTACCCTTGTTAGAACAAGCCATCCAGGAGCAGAGGAAATACCAACAAGAGAAGGACAACAGCCAGTAGGAAATGATAGATCCTGTCAACCGTCCCTCCCAGCCTACTGAGGCCCAGCCCACTAGAGATACCTGCATCATTGTGGAAAAGATGCAAGACCTTCCCCAGAGTCACAGCCTTTGTCTGGAGCCTGAAAGAAGGGGGGTAGAGGGTGGTTGCTAATTTGGACTATTCCAAATAGTCCCCCAAAAGGAGCCTGCGGGCGGCAGAGCTGTGGGGTGCTGGGAATTTGGAAGGTTCTGGAAGGCCCTTGTGAATAAAGGCCCTAGCAGGGGAAGGGGAAAAAAAAAAAGAATCTCAGTCTTACGTGATTGTTGGCCAATATCTGAAAACAGCTGCTTGTTACTACAATATGGCCTGAGACTTTTTTTTTTAAACAACAGAAATTTATGTTCCCATAATTATGGAGAACAGAAGTTCACAATTAAGGCCTGAGCAGGTCTGTTTTCTCCTGAGGCCTCACTTCCAACCACTTTCTCACTGTGTCTGCCTACAGTCTTTGTCCTGGGCTGACATCTCCCATATTTCATCCTCTTCTTACAAGGCCACCAGTTAGACAGCATTAAGGGCCACAGTAAAGGCCTTGTTTTAACTTAATTACTCCTTCAAATGCCCCAACTACCAATACAGTCCTATTCTGAGGTTCTGGGGGTTAGGGCTTCAATGTATGACCTTCGGAAGATCACAATTCAGCCTGTGACACTGCGGAAAGGGGCTTGGGAGCTAGATTTTCAATGACAGCCTATGGTGATGTTGAGACAGTTGGCTGGAGTATGACACTTTGAGGATCTCCAGTCGGGACAGGATGACAAGTAAGAGCCCGGCACGGCATACAGAGCCTCCCGTGGCTTGGCCACCCTCTCCAGCCGTCCTCGCTGCTGGTCTCGCTCTTGGTGGCCAAGACGCTTCAGCTTCTCACTGCTCCCCCTGCCTGTATGCCTCTCCACCTTTGCCTTGACACATGCTGTTCCCTCTACTTAGAATCTTGCTCTTTCCCCCACTTTTTCATATGACTTCCATCAGATTTATTATACCTTCACCTAGACTCAGAGCCACTACCATATGCATTTAAACAAGGGTGGAGGGGATTCCTGGGTGGCTCAGCGGTTTGGTGCCTGCCTTGGGCTCAGGGTGTGATCCTGGAGTCCTGGATCGAGTCCCGCATCAGGCTCCCGGCATGGAGCCTGCTTCTCCCACTGCCTCTGCCTCTGCCTCTCTCTCTCTCTGTCTGTGTCTTTCATGAATAAATAAATGAAATCATTAAAAAAAAAGAATTTTTAAAAACAAATAAATAAACAAGGGTGGAACCTCTCAGGGCTTATTCCTTCAACTCTAAAGTTAAATGTCCCTTTTGTTCTTAAGTTTTACATTCTAAATGCAGGAAAGACAGGAGCTCATTTGATCTTCTGGCTGCCCTGCCAGGACACCTGAACCGCAGACAACCTACAAAGACTGGGTTGTGCCAGGCAAAGAAGGCAGTGCAAGGCACCAGAAGCACCTGTTTGCCTCTGATGTTGCCTGGGCCACAAAACCTGTTCAGGGGCCCTGGTTTCTTCCAACAGTAAAATGGGACATTGCTCAGAGCTCTGAAGCACCACCTGCCTCTAACATTCCACGATGGTCAAGGAGTCAACACTGGGGAGACAGGCTGTCTCCCCAGGTCAGCTTATCCAGGTGGACTGAGCCTCACCAGCAGTGATGCAGAGTCATCAGGATGTGGTACCCACCCTCCAGGAGGAAAGCATCTGTAAAGTTAGCGATTACAGGATCTTTTTTAAACTTCGTGCAGTTACTGTTTCCAGTGGCGTCGGCCTTACCTGTTATGCCCATGTGATAGTTGTGGAATGCATCAGTGAGCCCATCACAGAGGATGCTGTCAGCCAGTGGCATTTCCCCGATCTTGACTCCTGCCCTCAAGTGAACCAAGTGAGGAGCCTGGAAACAAGAAATACAAATGGACTTAGGACTAGTCCTTTCCTCAAAATCCCACTCAAAACTACCCGGTGTTGCTCAGTCTTCACCTAGTTGCCCCTGGGACCTGTCCTCTTCCCCACCTAGGGCCTAGGGCCTCAAGACCCCTAGAATCAGCAGTCTACTCTATCCTGTCGGCTCCTGAGAAGCTGATCCTCTCCTACCTAGCTATTTCCATTTACCACCACATCAACCCATTTTGTGTCCTATTTCCTTAAAAACTTCATTTATTCTTTCCAAAGAGGCAACCAGCTATTTGTTAAATGAGGGTCACATCCAAAGGCATAAAGGATGCTAACAATGTGTCATTTATTTATGAAAGATGTAATGCTGGGACGTGTGGATAGCTCAGTGGTTGAGTGTCTGCCTTCGGCTCAGGGCATGATCTCAGGGTCCTGGGACAGAGTCTCCATCAGGCTCCCCACAGGGAGCATGCTTCTCCCTCTCCTTATGTGTCTGTCTCTCTCATGAAGAAATAAATAAAATCTTTAAAAAAAACCAGAAGATCTAATGCCTATAGTGAGAATAATCAGGTTGCCTAATTAACTCATGGGAAGGGATTTCTGGGTGGGGGGATCTTTTTAACTCCTACCAACTCTATAGCAGCTCTATAATAGAATGGAAAGACCTGGAGTCAGAAACTTGGCTCTGGGCCTCAGTTTCCTGACCTGTAAATTGGGAATGATACCACCTACCTTCAAAGGGCTGTTGTGACTGTATGTACAAAAGCATCTTGCAAAGTGTGACACAGACACTAGCATAGTCCCGTCAGGGTTACGCTGACCCTGTTTGATGCCTTACCTCCTCCTGGGCCACTGAGCAGAATCAGCCTCTGTCTAGGGGACCTTCAGGTCAGACCTGCAACTGCCTGGAGGAAGCAAGGGCTATACTTTCTCCTTTTCACTGCCATGCCAATTCGAGGGATGGACCTTGGTGAAACAAATCCCACCTGGCAAGCCTATTAGAGAAGGTACCACTCACTGGTCCTCTTTTCCACATTCCAAATGCTTTCAAAAGGGTCGACCAAATTTGGTCCCTGGGGTCCTCCTTGTCAAGTGTAGGACAGTAAGTGAAAACATCTGTTTTTGACTTTTTCCCACAAGGAGAAAGAAATTTAAGATGGACCAACTAATGTTATAAGTTTAATTCAGGAAATATTTTATGCTGATAACATTTTAGAAAAAAAAGTATACTATCCAGGTAGAGATGGAGATGGAATCCATTGTTTATTTGTTTACTGCTTGGTTTCAGCTCTAAGACGCATCAGTTTACTCTGCTATGGTATGGACGGGAGTTTATTAGGGAGCGGTCAGTGACAGCCTTACCTCCAGAGGCCTCACCTTGCTCATACTTTCCATGCCTCCTGCCACCACAATGCTGGAGTCTCCTATCCCTATTGACTGTGCTGCAAGACACACGGCTTTTAGGCCTGACCCACAGACCATTTGGCAGCTCCACGCTGGAACGGCATAAGGGATTCCTGCGCCCATACTGGCCTGTCGAACAGGATTCTGCCCACAACCTGACAGGAACACAGATACCTCTCAGCAAGAAATAGACCACGCACATAATCGTAGCAGAGAAGGGAAGGGAGTTGAAAGTTCCAAATGTTCTCAGTCCCCACTATCTGTTATCAAAGGATCAATGTTTACACAGTGGTCACTCTGTTGCAAATTTCAGATCTACCCATACCTAGCATCCTTCCTCAATGAGTTTGTTAGCAAAAAAACTAGCAAATGGGTCACAGACAAAAATTTAAAGATTATCTTCATCATAATGTTCCTTATCTGGGATTAGACTGGTAGCCTTGAGACTGAGACTGAAGACAAGTATAGGAAAAATTATTAAAAAGACAGAATCAAGGATGCTGGGACACCTGGGTGGCTCAGCAGTTGAGCGCCTGCCTTCGGCCCAGGGTGTGATCCCAGAGTCCCAGGATCGAGTCCCACAATCAAGTCCCATGTTGGGCTCCCTGTAGGAAGCCTGCTTCTCCCTCTGCCTGTGTCTCTGCCTCAATCTCTCTCTGTGTCTCTCATGAATAAATAAATAAAATCTTAAAATTAAATAAAGTTTTTTAAAAAAGAATCAAAGATGCCTGGGTGGCTCAGTCGGTTAGGTGGCCGGCTCTTGATTCTGGCTCATGTCATGCATGATCTCAGGGTCCTGAACCTGAACCTCAAGTCCAGCTCCAAGCTCAGTGGGGAGTCTGCTTAACATTTTCCCTCTCCCTCTGCCTCTCCTCCCACTCATGCAGATACTTTCTCTCAAATAAATAAATCTTAAAAAAAAAAAAAAGAATCAAAATACCTCTGAATGAAACACATAGCATGGAAGTTAATAAAAAAGACGATCACTTCAGGCTCGTTTTTGAAGCTACAATTAATTACATATGCATTTAAATAAATAACTCCTTCATAAAAATATTATGTGTTTATTTATAACCCCCATCTTCAAGGTAAGAAATGAGTCCTACACATAATTAGATAATATAGTCTAGCATTTAGCAGAATATGAGCTCCACAAGAATGATGAATTCTACCCTTTACGAACACAGCTTATCCCTAGTGGTGCATAGCAGGTGCTTGGTTAATATTTTTACAAGACTGTGAAAGGTACCTAGCTTTAAGGACTAGGACAGATGAGGGTTCAAATGCTAGCTGCACTTCAAACTGTGCCCCTGGGGAAGTGACTTGACCTGGGGGATCCCTGGGTGGCTCAGCGGTTGAGTGTCTGCCTTCGGCCCAGGGCCTGATCCTGGAGACCCAGGATCGAGTCCCACATCAGGCTCCCTGCATGGAGCCTGCTTCTCCCTCTGCCTGTGTCTCTGCGTCTCTCTCTCTCTCTCTCTCTGTGTGTGTGTGTGTGTGTGTGTGTGTTTCTCATGAATAAATAAAATCTTAAAAAAAAATAAAAATAAAAAAGTGACTTGACCTTTCAAAATCTCATTTATTCATTTGCAAAATGGAGATAATACAATTCAGTGGAGTTATGGATAGGACTCAGTAAAGCAATGAAAGCACTAAGCACAGCTTAAAAGCCCAGCGCTTATTAGGCCCTCAATGAACACAGCTATTATTTCTATTAAATTATGTAGAGGTACTATCGAGGACAGATGTGGAAGAGATAACAGGGAGACCAGCATGGAGCACCCTATGGCAACTGAGTAAGTCTGAATTGTGGGTAGGTCTGGGAAGGAAGGAGGATGTGGACTGAAGGTGGCCAGTCTGAGGATGTTACTTGTGTATTTTAAAGCCCTTGAGAGGGGAATCCCTGGGTGGCTCAGTGGTTTAGCACCTGCCTTCGGCCCAGGGCGTGGTCCTGGGGTCCCAGGATTGAGTTCCGCATCTGGCTCCCTGCATGGAGACTGTCTCTCTCTCTCTCATTCTCTCTGCGTCTCTCATGAATCAATAAAAATCTTTAAAATAAATAAATAAAGCCCTTGAGAGTCATGAGAAAGCATTAGGCTCCAACTTTACAGGCCATAAGGACAATTTGAGAATCAGGAAGAGGAACTAGAAAACCATCAAGTGACTTCACCAAACAATGGGCCAGGTCTCAGGGTAAAGACAGAAGTCAGTTGTAAGTGAGCATTACCCAGTACCACTAGGAATAATGAGAATTCATGCTACTGAGTGAGCATGAATCTATTAATAACTAACCAGGAACTTTCAGTGATCGCAGGTCTGTAAACTCAGTGGGAACCAGAAGTGAGGCTGGAGCGCTCTGATGACTCACGTGTCCCCATCCAGGGAGCCAGAGCCCTGTGAGGAGCAGGAAGTGCGGCCTCCCTTCCCAGGTGGGAAGTGAGTCCTTACCTGGGTGGTTGGAGCCCTGGCCCCAGCACCTAGCACGGTGCAGGGCACAAACGAGGAATTCATACATGTCTGTTGAACGTGTGGCACTTTAGGGGCATAGGGAGGGCCGTGTACAGTCTCTGGTGGGTGAGGTTGAGCCTGGTTCTAAGGAGTGAAAAGACAGTGGAGGGCGGTGGTCTAGCCCGGGCTCACCAGGAAATGCCTGTGAAGGGGCTTGGCACGGGGGAGCCTGAAGAAATCCAACAGAGGGAACCACCGCGAGCAGATCTCTGGAGGTAGGAACTTAGATTTCGGGAGCTGGGGGGCGGGGGGGCGGGGGTGAAAGGGGGGTATGATGAGCTGCTTCCAGTAAACCTCCGCGGTCCCTGAGGAGTTACCTGCCGCCAAAACGTGTCCAAATATGACCTCCGACACCTCTTCGGGAGCCACAGCGGCCCTCTTCAGGGCTTCTTTGATGACAGATGAGCCCAGGTCATGGGCAGGGACGGTGGCTAGGGCACCATTGAAGGAGCCTAGGGCAGAAGGGCAGGCAGGGGCGATGAGCTGCGCGCCCAGCGCGGCTGGCCCGCGACCGAGCGGACCCGCGGGAAACCCACCCCTCCATTTCCCCAGCGCCAGCAGATGGGGGCGGCCCACGCTCCCCCCAACAAAAGGGGTCGACGGCCCAAGGGCTTTGAAATCTCCACGGCGCTAAGCCACGGGAGGCAAGTCTCAGGAATCCTCCGTTCACCACCCCCGCCCGGCTCAGGCCACCCCGCGACCCCGCCCCTGCCGCCACAGGGCCGACATGGTTCCTCCCGGAGCTGGCCAACCAGAGGACTCGAAAGACAGCGCCTACCTCCGCCAGCCAATAGCACGGCAGGGCGGCGCGGTGGTTCTACCCGGGGACCCAATCGGAGCACGCGACGCGCGGTGGGCCTCACCGGGCGAGGACGGGGCGGGGCTGCCGGCCCGTGGGCCCGAAGAGGCGCGAGGTGCAGGGTTCCGAGGGGCTCCGGGGGATCCCCGGGGCTCCGGGGTCCCCGCGGCCGAGCCGCCCCCGGCCACTTACCTATGGGGGTCCGCGCCGCCGAGACGATGACCACGGGATCAGAGCCTGCACTCATCCTGCCGCACGAACACCTCGCGCTGCTGCTGCCCGGCACTGTGGGCGAGTGAGGCAGAGTCTTGCCAGGCAGCCGAAGGGCCGCGCCAAGGGGCGGAGCCGCGGGCTGCCCCGCCTCCGGCCCCGCGGGCGCCAGTGCGCAGGCGCGACGGCGGGGCGCGCGGGGGCTGGGAGGGCCGTCAGCGGGCCGCGCACCGAGAGCCGCCCGCCGTCACCTCAGGCCTTTATCCGAAAACCCTAGGGCTGTAGTTTGTCCTGACGTTTTTGGTTTGGGGGGCGGAGGGGAAGACAAGTCTTTCTGAACTTCTTTCGAGTCAGTGAAAAGTGGGGGTGACAGGATAGTACCCCACGTTGAGCCCAGGACTCGAATACCAGTGGCGAGGACGTGGGTGCGAATCCTGCCAGCTGAAGGCCTGCAGGCGGTTGCGTCCTGCTCTGGTGGCTTGGAAAGCTCCTCCATTCATCAGGGGTTAACTTGGTTCTCTGGGCAGACCCTTCTCCGCGCTCTCCTGTGAGGGTGGCACATCAGCTCCAGCGCCAAATGGGTGAGGAAAATGTGAAGGGTCTTAATCCCACAGACCAAAAGGATTTCCTCCAGGGAGCAGTCTGGAGAATCTGCAGGAAGTGGGTGCATGGAATACGTTGGGTCACTCTTGTGTTTCAAAGTGTTTACGACTTACTCTCGCTGTCTCATCGGGGGAAGCTCAATTTTTCAGAGCTATCTAGAACCCTAATACCCACCTCCTCCCCCACCCAGTCACTTTCCAGGCTCAGGTCTGGGTGTTTCTCCTGGACACGCCCCCACAGCGTGGACTAGTCTTCGAGAGAGAGAGAGAGAGAGAGAGAGAGAGAGAGAGAGAGAGAGAGAGAGAGAGCGCTCTTGCTTTGTCTTCTCTCTAGCTCTCAGGCCAGTGTCAGACCCACAGTAGCGGCTGCTTAATGCATTAACAAATATTAAGGAATTTTCAGGACATTCTCTCCAAAAGCTTTAACCATCCCCAAGGGCTGCATAAGACCCCCATACAAAGATTAGAGTCAGCCAGAGATATGGAGACAATTATTATTTGAATAATAATTGGGGAGGCTCAGCTGGCAGAGCATGCAACTCTTGGTCTGAGGCTATTCAGTTCAAGTCCCACATTAAGGGTAGAGATTACTTAAAATATTTAGGGGTGACTGGGTTGCTCAGTGGTTAAGCATTTGACACTTGGTTCTGCTCAGGTCGTTATCTCAGGGTTGTGAGATGGAGACCCGAGTTGGGCTCCTTACCAGCACTGCATCTGCTTGAGATTCTCTTTCCCTCTATCCCTCCCCCTGCTTACACCACCCATACGCTCTCTCAAATAAATAAAGCTCAGAAAAAATTTAAAACTCCTTAGAAATTTTAAATGATTAACAGTTAACGATCACTGATGGTCAATATTGGCAAGGGTAAACACCTGGGTGGAGTAATTGGTGACAGCTAGAATATTATGGTTATTTAGACTTGATACTTTTCACCTCTTTCCCATAATCGAGTTATAGTGATTGATTCCCACTATCCATTTTACTCTATATAAATAACCTTAGCCCTGGGCAATGATTTCACAACAGTCACGTGACTCAATCTTGGCCTTAGAAGTGTGAAGGGAAGCTTGCTAGATTGGCTGTGGAAACCAAAGATCCCACCTAGGATCTATAAAGAAGGATGGATCCTTCTTACATTTGGACAGTGTCTTGGTGTGAGGCCTGGAACTGTTGTATCCATCTTTTGAGCATGAGGAGAGACAGCATGACCCTTGCCAACACCAACACGCTGAGGATAGCAGAGCTAATATGGAAAGAGTACAACCTTTGAGGGCATCTCTGACGTGAACACTAAATTCAGTCTCTAAATTCAACCTCTGATTTTCCAACTATGTAAGACAAATATTCCTTCTTGTTTAAGCCAGCTTGAATTAGACAAGCTATTGTGTCACATGCCACTGAGAGCATCCTGATATATCCACATGGAATTCCTGCGAGGAAGTTAAGATTTTTGAATATGGCAGGAAGGAAAGGGGTTTCTAGGTGGGCAGGGCAGCTTGTTGAGAACACTGGGGCAAGAGAATTGTGTCACAATGTGCAAGGGAAATGGTTGCCAAGCCTGGAGAATCCTCCTGAAGTAGACTGAAAACTCATTAGGTCCTTGGAATCTGCATTAAGACTTTGCAGAGGAATATGGATGGGCCAAAGGAACCAGAGAAGAAAGCTAGAGCACTGGCCACACAGGTAGGAAATGCTTGTATAACAGTGTTTTCTTTGGGAGAAATCCTTAAGAGTCTGGAGTAGTGATGGAATCAGCAGTCCTTAAGAATTCAGCAGCAAATCTGTCTGCAATGTGTTCCCTGTCCTAAAAATACGAGAGTCCAAGTAACGTATGGAACTTTGTGCCTTGGCTTCATGCTCTGTTCTATTTGTGTCCCCTTACATCTTAGGCTACTTAGTCTCCTTTGTGGGCTTACTTTGCCCCTTATTATATTCAAGGTTGTTACTCTGCACCAGCACTCTGAGTAATACCAGTCACTCCCATGGCTTCAGTTACCATGACATGCTGACCACTCTGAAATCTCTAATCTAGTCCCCTGAGCAGATACCTTCTCCATTAAAATTTCTCAACACACCAAGTTTAACTCATCTAAACCAAACTCATTAAATCCACCTCTTCCAGGCTTTATTATTTCCTTTCTGTTCAAAATCTCAATTAGGGGCAGCCCAGGTGGCTCAGCAGTTTAGTGCTGCCTTCGGCCCAGGGCGTGATCCTGGAGTCCCAGGATCGAGTCCCACGTCGGGCTACCTGCATGGAGCCTGCTTCTCCCTCTGTGTGTCTCTCTGTTTTTAAATAAATAAATAAATACAGACATACATACAAAATCTCAATTAGCAGTGCAACTTGTCTTCTGCTGGGTAGCAAGCACTCCATTTAGATGATCACTTCTTCCAGGAAGCCTTCCTATCTCCTGCATTTGGTGCCCCTTGGCATCATCTACCTAACTTTTCTTACAAGATGTTAAAATTCCTGGTTTCATCTGTCTCCTGTACTCAACTACATAAGCTTTGCAAGTTCGTCTTGTTATATTGCTTTATGCACAGGTCCTAATACATTACAGGCATTAAATATGAATGAATACTAATATATTCTTTATGCCCAATGCCTAACAAATATGAGTATGTTCTTCTGCATGCAAGGAATGCATTCAATGGTTTCCTACCTGGAGGGTCTATCAAGAACCAAGAGCAAAAATTGAGAGGATAATTGCTTGCTTTTGTTGAGGGGGCACACAGCACCTGGGGAGTCCTCATTATAGTTGTTCACCAAGCTCTCTTCAGAGCTTTGAATGGGCCAGATAGGAACTAAGAATAACAAATAGGCAAAAGAAGAGTATCATTTTAAAAACTGTATTGAGGGACGCCTGGGTGGCTCAGTGGTTGAGCATCTGCCTTTGGCTCAGGGTGTGATCCCGGAGTACCGGGATCGAGTCCTACAGCTCCGTGTCTATGTCTCTGCCTCTCTCTGTCATGAATAAATAAATAAAATCCTAAAAAACAAACAAAAAACTAAATCTATAAGCATATGCTACCCAGGCTGGTAAGGAATGAGTGGGTAGCCACCATAATCTCCAAGTGCAAGTGAAGGACCTACAGCAGCTACTGGGCCAGTTTCTCCTGAAGGGGCCTCACAACTGTTCTTCATTAAGTTCCACAAATAGGGTTGCAAGAGTGCAGGCCAGATTTAAGCCAGAAGGTAGAATCCCCCAACCTTCCATGTAGCAAACTCCCTGGTTGGTCTAAAAGAACAATGACTCAACACTGTGGATTGGACACAGCTGGTTTGCGGTGCACTCCTGACAATAGGGGTAGCTTGGTTCTTGGCACAACTCCCCGGTGACCGCTCCAGATCAAAGGTAATGACATTATTCAGGGTTGTAAGATCCTGGGGATAAATGAACTCCCAAGAAAGCGTCAACAGAGGAGGGGGCAATGACTGGTCTAAAGGACAAACTGCTACTAATGAGAAATAAGGAATATCTGAGAGAAAACTGTGAGACAGAATGGCTTTGCATTTTGTTTGCTGAAGTGTCCCAGAAACTAGAGTGGTCAGTTGCATCAAATATAACTGAGAGGCCAAGAGAAGGAACATCTAGTGAGACCTCTATCAAGCACGGTTATATTTCTGTTCTCCTTACAACCTTCCCAGCAGCTGCATCCATTGAACCTTATGTGAAGAGATGGCAATGGGCAAACCACCCTCCAATAATGCCAGACCTTCATGAAATGTCCTCAATCCTCTTTTTCACAGACTGGTATCGCCTAACCACTTCTCAGACTATTCTTAACTAAACCCTCTTACTTTAGCCAGCATCTTCAATGATATATTCAGAATCTTTATAATTTATATTTTACCCCATCACTGCATTGTTGGTTCATTTGGTTGTCTCCAGCTCCTACATATTTGGCACAGTAACCATTCGGACTGCTTCTGAGATGTCACGCTCAGCTCCAGCACAGTTCTTCCTCCTACTCCAGAGGATGAGGTAAGGGGACACAGCGCCAAGCCTGGGTTCTCGGAATCAGACAGGCTTCTGCTGCCAGGTCTGAGGGGGGTTATGTCGGGGAAGCTTTGATGACAGCACCCTAGAGGGCAGACGCTACACTTATCAACCTTTGGGTGATCGCTTAAGCCTTTTAAATTCCTTTGTTCTGTAAAATGGTCAACAAGTGCCTCTTCTCCTGGAGGTGAGAGTAAAAACATATAAACAAAATGTGTTGGGACGCCTGGGTGGCTCAATGGTTGAGCATCTGACTTTGGCTCAGGTTGTGATCCCGGGGTCCCGCATGGGGTCCCGGGATCCAGTCCCGCATCGGGCTCCCCACAGGGAGCTTGCTTCCGCCCCTGCCTCTGTCTCTCATGAATTAACAAACACATCTGTCACTTAAGTACTCAACAGACATCAAAAATATTAAGGCATTTCTTACTATCCTCATAGTACAAATCTCCCTGGAATGATGCTAAAGGAGAGACATCACAATTATCTTACTTTTGGGGTTTTATTCAAGTTGACTGCCCTTACAATTAACCTTTTTTTTTGGCAGTACTCAAGTTTCTGCCAAATGGCAGGATTCTGTTCTCAGGAGTCATCTAAAGAATCTTCAGCACTGGGACATCTGGGTGGCTCAGCGGTTTAGCGCCTGCCTTTGGCCCAGGGCATGATCCCGGAGTCCCTGGGTCCGGTCCCACATTGGGCTCCCTGTGTGGAGCCTGCTTCTCCCTCTACCTATGTCTCTCTCTCTCTCATGAATAAATAAAATATTAAAAAAAAAAAATCTTCAGCACTCCCACTTGTCCCACTTAAAGGGAACACACTTTTTACAGGGGAAAATGGAGCCACAGAGGGAGAAAGCAGTTTGCCCAAGCCATGAAACAGGTAAGCAGTAAAGCCAGAATTCAGATCCATTAGCTCCAGAAGCCACTTGCTCATCCTGGATTATGACTTACCACCTCTCTTATCTTAGACGTACCAACAAAAAGTTTCCAGTTCCAAAAAGGAAGAATACAGACTTTGCACAAACCAAAGTTCTCTCTGCCCTAGTTACTCATCAACTAACACAGATCCACCAGAAACTTGAAAATCGGTAATGATGTACCACGGGTCTATATTAAATTTAGTCATGGAATTCTATCACTAGTTGAAAAGTTAATTTCCTATTGTACACCAAAGATTACAGATCAAAAGAGAAATTCCATTTTTGTTAAAATGGGGCCAAGTAAAAAAAGTACTAAGAAAAACTAGTGTCAAAAGTACTTCATAAATAGAATATTTAGTATTGTAATATACAACAAAATGTAAATTATACTAAGTATTTAAAATTGTGTAGGATCTATTTACTTGAGACTACAAGAGACTAAACAAAGCAATGAAGACAAGATATATACCTGTATGCCAGGAGCTATTTTCAAATAAGTGTACCTGTTTCAAGTGTCGTTAATTCCACTTCTGAGGTTCCTTGATTATGATAGAACACCTAAAACCAAAAAATATTTTGCTTTCAGCAAAAATAACATTTCATCCCAACCACACATATGAAAAGCTACAAATTCTAAAACCATTCCATACCATACACTGATAATGTTTAAAATAAGACAACAAAGCAAGCTTTTGAATCTTAAAAACACTCCCCTTCACTCTAACACCCCATAAGCCTTACCATGTAACATCAGCAGACATGTTATTAATATAAATCAATAGCAGTGGCCAATGTTTATTATTTAAAGATTTATTTTAGAGAGAGCAAGCGAAAATGGGGGGTGGGGGGGGTAGAGGACCGGAGGGAGAGACAAACTCTAAGCAGACTGTGCACTGAGCATGGAACCCAGCGTAGGGCTTGATCTCACCCACCCTGAGATTGTGACCTGAATGTAGCCGATGTTTTAAAATGAACATCACTGACTATATAGATATCCCAATTACGTGAAATCATTTTACAAAAACAAACTGTACTTTTCAAAACCTGACAAATACTTATTTTCTTCTTTTCTGAATATTTGAATATTTTATGATTTTTTACAAATCAGAAAAAAAATTTAGTCCTAAATTCCATGTTGATCTTGCAAAACAGTTTTTAGAGATTTTTTTAATCTCTACATCCAGTGTGGGGCTGTAACACACAACTCTGATCAACAGTTGCATGCTCCACCAACCGAGCTGACCTGACACCCCAAAGCATACATTTCTAAAAAACTAAGTGCACAATCAAGATTGATGCATGAACTTAAGCTTCACCACTGTGGTATGTTGAAGGATGATGAGTAAAAATTCATCAATTCAATAAAAATAAATGACCTGCTAAACACAGAGATACAAATAAAAAAACTAATGCAAGCGGTTACAATAAAAATCTTTATTTAGGTTTGGTCAGTACAGACAGGTAAGATATACTGGAGTCACAGAGCAATATGCATTAACAGGATACAACAGTTCATAAAAACTGAGTAACTATGCACACAAATTTCTTAAACATTCAGTCACCTAAAGAGAAAATGCACGGATGTATGGTGGGAAAAACTGTATCTAACACTGAAACTACTATAGGACTCCATCAGCAAGTCCAACTTTTAGTGATAAAACTACTGTACTGGGCAAACTTGGCAGTCATAAACCCACATCTACTCTAACAAGTCTGAATGGTGCATAAGTATAATAACAGCATGAGTAAGAATGCCCTTACACAGCACAGGTTCTAGGATAGACACAGATTTATACAGACATCATTGTGTTATACTTTAAGGAAAGATTTCCATTTACAACTTCACATTAACTCATATAAAAATAACTTGACCCTACACAAAATGTCCTGTTAGCAACATTCAAGGTAATTAACTGTTACAATTTCCAAAGTGGCAGAGGTATTGAAGCAAAGAAAGAGAGGGGGGAGAAAAAGGGAAAGAAAAAAACCACACCCACAAAAAAAGGCAAATTGTGACAAAAGTATGCGTTAATTTTCTGGACAGTATCCTCTCCCAAATTAAATGACACTGTATAAAAATTTGCTGAAAAAAATATTACAAAACTGAACCCTGTACATTTACATTTGAGTCCAAGCCATTCTGAACGTGGCGGGAACCCGCAGTTCGGTTACCTTTCCCACTCACTGTTTTCTCCTCTTGAGGGTCATGATTGGAGTCTGTGTCATTTGAGTGGTGTGTGAGAGAGTTTTCACTGCCCGTGGGAGAGTCTACACTTTCATACCCCGCACTGAGTTGATTTACGTAACTACTACCTCCTCTGCCAGTTCTCTCCTCTGAGCTGTTGGAGGCCTTATTACCATTCCCTGGAGAAGAAGGAAAGTCATCTTCGGCTGTGTCCCCCTCCCTGTGAAATCCAGACCCAGACGTCCTCTGCCGGGAGGAACTGCCATTACTTGGTCCGTTGGCCAGCCGACTGCAGTCTTTACCTGTGGCCTCCGCCTGTCCTACAGGCTCAGAAGATGTAGTCCTGCTGGTACTTGGGGCTGGAGCTTGAGACTGCTGCTGTTGGTACTGAGCCAACTGCTGGCGCGTCTCTTTCAGTTGTTGCTGAAGAACTAGAATGGTGCTCTGCATACCCTCTACTTCTTCGTCAAGTTGAATGATGAAGTCATTCAGTTCTGTGCAAAGGAGAGTCAAACCTACTTTAATATTCTTATAACATTTATTTTTAAAAGATTTATAACAGACTTTATTAATGCCTATCACAAAGTCAGATAGTCAATAAATGTTCACATGAACAAACACAATTCTAAAAATATATATATATATATCTTAAAATTTTCCTTGAAATTTAAAAATAGCCATTTAAGAATGAGTTTGGTTCTTTTTTTTTGGGGGGGGGGAAGACATGCTTAAAATAGTTTTATAAAGCAAACAAGTTAAAACTGATTCAAATCTAGCCATATTATACAACTGATTATATCCCAAATCCAACTCCACATCTGTTTACCTATGGGCCCACATGGCCAGTCCCCTTCCTCCTTATCCCCCTAGCTACTGTCTATCTCAGCTCCACAGCAAGTTTAGCCCTAGGGAGCAGTGAGTCCTCTAACACTCCGAAGAGGCCTATGCTAGAACGAAAGCAAAAATCAGAAAAAATAACTCTTGAAAATTGATAAAATTCATATATCCACTTACTCCTAAAAAAGCTTGGGAAAGTCCTTCATTACTATACAAAAATCTCCTAGTCACCATGTTTACATATAGTAAGAGCTAACAACTATCACTTTGAAAAGGTACTTTAAAAGGTATTATACGACCGATCTTTACAATTGTCAAATATATTCATTTTCAATTTAATTTCCAGAGTTCAGGTATTTTAGTTACTAATCATCTTCCTCAAATTCAGTTACTTGCCCAAGAAAAGGCGGGTGGGGTGGGCGGAGGAAGCAGCTCACAAAATTCAGTTTATCTTGAACAAATTTAAATATCACATCTTGAGGCAGCCCTGGTGGCTCAGCGGTTTAGCGCCGCCTTCAGCCCAGGATGTGATCCTGGAGATCCAGGATCAAGGCCCACGTCGGGTTCCCTGCATGGAGCCTGCTTCTCTCTCTGCCTGTGTCTCTGCCTCTCTGTGTCTTCCATGAATAAATAAATAAAATCTTAAAAATAATAATAAATCAATAAATATCACATCTTATTCACTCAATAGGACCTTAACAGGTACAATCAATTCTGATTTCTAGACCACATGAAATAGCCAAATATTGCCAAGATTTACACTTGGAAAGTGATTAAATGGAGATAACCCCTTTTAAATATTGAATATAAATGTGCATATGTATGCAGTGCCTTCTTTCACCAAATTGCACCTCCCCCAAAAATCCAAAAACTTATGAAATTTGCACAATAAACAAGAGAGTCGCGGGGGGGGGGGGTGAGGGGGGTACTAAAATGGCTCTGCTGACTCAACTAGAAATGTTCCATTTATAATTTTATAGAATCATCGGCACAAATTAGTACATAAAGAATCTAATCTGTAATATTCATGCCTGGCAACTTTTTAAAAGCCAGTGCAAAGTTAATCAAACTTTTCAAAAAACCCCTTACCATCCTGACTGCTTTTAAGCTCCTCACTATATTTCTTCTGTAAAGCCAACTCTGCTTCAAGTTGTGCAATACGTCCCTGGGACAGCTGCCTTCCAAGCTCTTGATTCTCCTGGATAAGCATTCGACACTTCGCCATTAACTTTTTGCCTGTTTGGCTGCAAAGGAAAGAGCCATCCATCACAAAATGAAGACAAGTGTCTACAACCTTGTTTGCTTGCAATTATTACAGCAATAGATGTAACACGTACAGAATATAACTGTCACGGCAGATGCCTCCCCTATAATTACCATCTTCTGTCCTGGAACACGTCCATCTTCTGCATTTCAGTATTTTGCCAATACAGCAGCAAAAATAAACCCTAAACAAAAAGTACCCAAATGGCCACATTTTCTATTACACTAATAAGGATTCTGATCTCTATTTTCACCCCTAATTATTATTTGAAATGGAAACAAGCCAGTTAATTAAGGCAAGCCTCATATATACCGGTATTAATAAAACACTAAGGTACTCAGCTTCATGGAACAGAAAAGTTCTTAAAAAGGTAAATGTGATAACATAGAATATATATATTCTTGCTAAAGCAGCATTTGATAAAAGTGCCTATTCATAGGCAGTTCTCAGAAGGAGGTTTATTACAGTGAGGCATATACTCAGTAATTGTTTTTAGAAACTTTTAATAGATTTTTTTTTTAAGCAATCTCTACATTCAACATGGGGTTTGAACTCATAACCCTAACTAAGATCAAGAGTGGCATGCTCTACTGAGCCAGCCAGGCATCCCTAAAGAGCCTTTTAAAAAAGAGCCTTTAGACTACTTTTATCCACTAAGCCCTAATTTAACTTTTTTTTAAGTTAAGTCCCTAATTTAAGTTTTTTAAGCTTTAAGCTATCTAAACGGTAAGTTTTTAAAAATTTAATATTGATACGTGGTTAAGATTTTATTCATGTTACAAAACATTATCTTTAGAAAAGTGAGATTTGGGTTATTACAAATAATGCAAATATTTAAGTATCTGCCAAATTGGGAGCACCAAACTTTCCACAAATTAGGTACCAAGTATTAGTGCAATCTTCTAAAGTGTGTACACACACATACACAGCAAGCGCAAAAATGTAATCAGTCTTAACAGTTCTCAATAAAACAACTTCTTTAGCCTCAATAAGTAATAAGAGAAATGATCACTTTTAAAGGGATCTGATTTAAGCACATAATTGAGGTTACCTGATACTTGAAAAGGGAAAGCCTGGTATTTTAAAAGTGTATTTAAGTAGGTTCTATATCCAAAGTGGTGCTTGAACTCATGACCCCAAGATCGAGTTGCACACTCCACCAGGGACAGTCTGATATCCTCATGATGGTATTAACATTCAGAAAGATCTAACCAGTCAAAAAATTTTTTTGCTGACACTTTCTGTTCTTTCCTCCATTTATTGGGGCTTTCACTTGCCTGATGTATTACTTCAGAATGCATCTGAACCTATTGTAAGCCTTCAGTCTTAAAAGGAGAGCATTTTATAAATGATTCTCATTCTTTGACTCAGTGCTGTGTTGTTTTTGTTTTTTGTTTGGTTTTACCCATAGTACATATTCTACCCTAATGTAACTCAAACAAGTTTGTAATTTAAATTTATCTGTGGCACAAACTGCTGCTCAAAGAAGTCTCACGTAAAAACACTTAAGGGTTTTATTCTCTATATGGCAACTTTATTAGCTGGTGTTCTTGTTTATTGCTACCATAGCTCCAGATACCCCTTTCCCACCGGTCATTTTCCATTAGCACCCTCAGCTTCTGGCCTCCTATGAATGGGAGTTTAGAAATCCAATGAGAAGAGATAGGTACCACTGTCAGGGAGTGGCACTCCTCCCGCTTTATTGCCCATGCTCCCACAATTCTGTTTTCTTTCAAAGTCTACAGCATCAGTGTTTTCCAACTAACCTGAAAATCCTTCTAAGTGAATTTAGTAGAGGTTAGAAAAAAAGACTACTGTAAAACCAATAAATACATTAATTTGTGACCTAACTTAATTTCATATAAAGTATCACAAACTGTAATACAAAAAATGTTTCATTTGTAGTCATACGTTTTTATAAAAGCCTGTTCTAAGATAATCCTATCACTACTAAAATTAGTGATTATGGAAACAAGTCTTAAACCTGTTCTTTAAACATTTTGTCATTTTACCATATCATGTAAAATTTATGTGTTCATTGCATCCCCCAAAATGATTAAGAGTTCAATTACAAGTAACTGTCTTTGGAATAATTTTAATTACAATTCCCCCCCCCAGCCCATTCCTAAAATCAAATAATTCCAAAGAAAATATGAAAGAAAACATTTTGAGAGAAAGATTTATAAAAAAGAACACATGCTATACATTGCTTCATGATCACGAGAGGAAGGGGGCCAGGATATCTGAGAGGTGTACACACAATTACCTCAAAGATTAAATGCAAAACATTAACTGTCAAAATAACTAAAATAGATCTTTCTTAAATACTCTAAAATATATGCACTGTTACATGTGTGGAATATTTTAACTAAGCAGAGAAGATAATTCAGACAATCTTTCTCTTTCAAAATTAAAATAGAATAGGAAAATGGAAAGGGGCCCACAACCCATTCTATTTGAATTATTCCAAACACAGTACTGATCGAGCACTGTTTCAGGTTAATGATGTATTTATAGTACCATTCATAGCTATTATTTACAGAACAAAAATCCATTTACAGGTGAATAAAATAAATTAATGATTTATTTATACAATGAAAATATTACGTAACCAATAAAAAATGAAATAATCTAAATGTACTTTAAAAATGAAAAAAATGTGCAAAGGGTTAAGTGTGTGTGTGAGAACAGATGCCAAGCTGCAATCATCTATGTTATGTACATTCACATTTGTTTAAAATTGATATATATATGTGTAATATACATATATATAATGATTGTATATGCATAGAAATTATCTTGATGATACCCAAGAAATTTAACAGTGATTACTGCTCTTGGATAACAAAATGGGGAAGAGGGATGGGGAAGGGCAAGGTCACATCCAGGAGTGACTCTCACTTTTTGTCTCCACCTTTCTTCATGCTGTTCCAATGTTATACAGGAGTATGTATTATCTTATTAAAAAACTTTTTTAACAGAAGGAAGAAAAAAACCCACAGACCTCACAGTGACTCTTAAACTAAGCAGCAAAGAAAGATGCTGGCTAATAAATTTGCGTACATGTTAATAATACATTTTATGAATTATTTCTCAACCTACTAAAAATACGGAGGCCATTTCTACTGTGATTTTAAATGGCATGAAATATATACAAATGCCTTAATGCGGCACAATAAGCTAATTTCAAACAGATTTGGTTACTTACCCTCCAACCCCACAAATAGTGAGAATTTTAGAAGCGGATCTCTTGCTGTAAAGTCACACAAACCACTTCTTCAACCCACCCTCTGCCCCACAATCAGTTCCCTAAAGCACAAACATAAGATACTTACAATTGATTTGAATGGTTAAGAGAACTTAAGTCACCCTTGTTAAAACTGCACTTAAACGTTGGGACAATCTGGAACATATATCTTCCACTCATCTTAGACTCCATTATCACCAAGTGAAAATTCGCATTGGTGACTTATAGAATGATCTGACGAAAAAAATTCACCTCCAGGATTGGATGGAAGCATGAAGAAAATAATGCCTCATTTATCTAAATGATCAAATGAATTTGCTAGAAATGATCACTATACTTTTTTTTTTCAATTCACAGAATGTCTCACTTAGGCCAGCCCACAGTTCAACACATTATTTCCCCAATCTTCTGGCAGGCACCCTGTGAAGCTGTCCCACATTAATTTCTACTGCAATATCCTGGGACAAGGTGTCAAAAAGCAAGTGTCAAACCTCTTTCCTTGTCTTTTATGATACCAGCTGGAAAAACGTAGGTCTTTAAAAATGAGACACAGAGCCTTTTCCTTCACTTTGAAGAGCACAGCAACAATTTTTCCAAAATCAATCTGCTCTCCACAGCCCCCCAAAATCAAAATGTTAAAAGTACAACAAAATCATCATAATATTCCTTGAACTTAAAAAAAAAAAAAAAACAACTATTTCAAGGCACATTTAATTTAATATCAAGAGTGCAATACAAAAGGCCCAAATACAATGAAGGAAACACATTCCCCCATTAACACCAACGACAATGCTCTTTCAACATGTGCCTGTTGAATGGAATGGGGATTTAATTTCACTACTGAAAAAATTAACGCAGTGAGTCTCATCACAGCCAATATCCTTATACAATCTAGTAGTGAAATGAATGTTTATAATGCTTCAAACAGTTTCAACCTGAAGTTTGATACCACACCTTTATGTTTGTTTGTACAGTCCTCAGTAAGATTATCTACAGCATTAGCAACCATTCAAAGAACAAACCATTGATTAAAACCACATTGATTTAAGGCTCAATCAAGTAATATAGAGCCCCAAACTAAATGGTTAAATATATGAACTACTTGTACTGACATCTATTATTTGATTCTCTCGTGACTATTAAATTGGTTCTTAGCAAATAAACTCTTTAAAGGCAAAATTCACCTCATTTGAGTTTTGACCCAGAAGTTCAACAACAATCACGAAGTCCACAGTCTTATTGGCAAACCTGAGATACAGTGTCTCTAAGTCACTATGCTCAAGGTTAAGAGCGATGCATATTCCATTTTTACATTTTACTGGAATTTTACATGTTCAATTCATGATTTTAAATCTCTAGGTTTTCATTCCTCCAAACTGTCTGAAGACACAGTGTGCCACAGACTTAAGACTTCTGTTTCTCCCTCTATTTTCTTCAAACAGAAACATTTCTCAAGTGTCTACATGTTCTAGAAGGGGAATTTTTCGGAGGTGGCCACTTCTTCGGAATAGTCCGACGCCATCAGGCCTCTGAAGCAAGGGGAGGGGGAAGAAAAAAAAGCTGAAACACAAGGTTCATCTGGTAAGTTTTACATTAACCATTACAAGCTGGATAGTATAAGAATGTGGCTTTTTTTGGCTCAAAAAGTCTGAGTCTTGGTGTGGAAACGAGTACTTGGCTGTCCCACCACAGCTTTCTCGTAGTGGGACTGTCAGGGAAGTCTTGACTGGGGAGTATGATTTGTTTACCTATCAGGCGTAAACTTCCAGGCACTCAGTTCATTTTGGGCTTGTTCCAGTTTGTCTTTAGTCTGTTCCAGTTCACCTTTCATTTTTAGGAAAAACAAGTTGATCGCTGGGTCTACCATTGTTGATCTCAGTTGGGCAACGCTAGGCTGCTGGACTTGCTTGAGGTACTGGATTTGAGTCTGTACAAAGCAAAACAAACAATTACTACCAAATCGAAGAAAACAGTCATAGGAATGTGGGATAAAGTCCCTTTTGTTCATAGAATTTATCAACTTGTCCTTCCCCCTTTGACCTTAACATCCTCTAGAAAAAGTACAAATTATAAACAACTATTTAAGGTAATCCATGTAGGAATTAAAGCTTTGATTGCATTTCCATATCTGGAATCCTTAAAAAGGCTACATCCTACTTGCAACCAAAATGATACTTAAAAAAAAAAAATCAGTGCTATATTTACTAAGAATTTTGACACCCACTAGAAAAAAGCCATGTGTCAAATATTACATAAGAGTATAGTGAGGGGAACCTGGGTGGCGCAGTTGGTTAAGCATCTGACTCTTGGTTTCGGCTAAGAATGATCTCAGGGTCGTAAAATGAGCCCACGGGAAGTTTCTCTCTTCCTCTGCCCCACCCCACTGTGTACTCATGCTCTCTCAAATAAATCTTTTTTTTTTTTCAAATAAATAAATCTTAAAAAAAAAAAAAAGTACAGTGGTTCACACTTTCCAATTTGTATCTATGGAAATTATTCTATATATGTCTACTAAAAATAAACCAAGTACAAGATTATAACTTATTTATCTGTATTTCCAAATTTAAAAATATATAGTGCTTATATTTACATGAGTTGGCATTACAGCTTCATAAATAGCACCTTAAGCCAAAAAATATATTTCTACCTTGAGTAGATTTGAATGACAAAATTGTATAGGTAGAAGGTGACTGACCACATCCAAACTCCTTATTTTTGAAATTAAATAAGCTAACTATCCAAAGATACAGTTGGTTCATTGCCAAAACTGACACTAGAATCTAGCTCTCAAGCCTCCTGACTCCCAGTCTAGGGCTTTTTCCACCACACCAGAACCCCTCTACTTACATATGAAACCTTCAATTTCGACTTCAGTTGTACTACTTACTAGCACACTAAAAATACATTTCTAAAATATGAAATACAGTTTATTAGAATTAAATGCATTACTTTCTTCACACCCAAAGTAGATTTGATTCAAAATCCTGCTGCACACTACAGCTTAAATAGAACTAAAGTTAACAACCAACTGCTCATTTGTATCATAAATTTAGTAAAAAATGTAAATATCTGGATTGACAATACATTCATTTACTATTTCACCGAGCAAACAGAAGTAACTTATTTAGCTTAAGGAGATTTTTTAAAGTAATTCATTTTAAACAAAAAAGTATAACTGTTTATTCAATATAAGACCAGTTGCTAGAATAACTGAACAAGGATAAAGCATGTGATATAGTATATACCACATCCTGTGATCCCTAAAGAAAACATGCTTTTCCAATAGTGACATAGCTACTATTTAGGTTTACAAAGTAAACTGCTCTCATCTGCACATATAATCTTGCACTTTCCTGGTGTTGTTGCTCTTGCTACCCTTTCTGCAAAACCTTACTCTGTAACTGAAAATGAGTTGTTCAGCTGACCTATGCAGGGGAAAGCTGCAAAAAAAGAAAGAAAAGAAAAAGAAAGACTGGAGGGGTGCCCGGGTGGCTCAGAGTTGGTTAAGTATCTGCCTTCAGTTCAGGTCATGATCCTAGGGTCCTGGGATGGAGCCCAGGGTCGGGCTCCTTGGTCAGCAGAGAAGTCTGCTTCTCTTTCTCCTTCTGTGTATGCTTTCTCTATCAAATAAATAAAATCTTTGAAAAAAAAAAATATGACTGGAAGTGGCTAGGTTCTAGTTGAAACAGCCTTTGAAACCTGGGACACAAAGACGAAAGGGTGATAAAGCATCACACCAAAGTCTCTGATCAGGCATGATATGGATCAAAACTACCAGTGTATATATAAAATAGAAATGAGTCAACAGTATATATTGTCCAAGTAAGTGTAAAAAGTACAATTATGAAAAAAAATACAATTATGTGTTATATGAAAGGAGCGCTCCCCTCATCCAGGATGGAAGAGGCCCTCAAGTCCTGACAACAGACATACGGTTATGGCACTGCCACCTACCGCATGGCTTCTAAGCACTGTTAAAAAAAAAAAAAAGTACATGAAATAGGATAGCAATGGCAATGGTAGGACACACAAAGAAAAAATTCAAGACATAATGGTATAGTAAGATATTACTGTTGGCATCGTCCATTCACACTCTACTAACAGCACTTTGAAGATAAGAGTCATCCTATGCATGTGACAAGCATCTAACAGAGTGCCATGTAAGTACAGACCTAAAACTAGGTACAATCTAGAATCCTTAATATCAGAAAAAGGAAAAAAGAATTAAAGAGTTTTGAGACTGGGTACTTTAGAGACATAGTGCCCACTCCATTAAATATGAAAATCTAAGAGGAGAAAAATTTTCTGAAAGAATGGGGTGGGTGTTATAATTAAAAGAAAATTATATTCAAACTACTGGAAAGACTTCTTGGAACAATGTGTCCAAATAAAATAACCAAAGGCTGGGGTGGTCAAGACTTGAAATTACAGAAAGAGAAGGTGTGGGATTATTAAGAAAAGAAATTTTAAGAAATAACAGTACTGTGATTGAGCCTTAAAAATGTTTTGGTGATAAAACAATTAGGAATAGGACTGCACCCGATAGAAGAGTCTCCAATGACCAGAATATTGCCTTGTACATTAGATTTAATAAACAATGTTATCAAATCAATGGAGATTACACAAAAGAATTCAAGAAGATTTCAGATTTTCAGAGCACCTGGCTGGCTCAATGAGAAGAGCAAGCAATTCAATATCAGGGTTGTTAGGGATCCCTGGGTGGCTCAGCAGTTTAGCATCTGCCTTTGGCCCAGGGCGTGATCCTGGAGTCCCGGGATCGAGTACCACGTTGGGCTCCCTGTATGGAGCCTGTTTCTCCCTCTGCCTGTGTCTCTGACCTCTCTCTGTGTCTCATGAACAAATAAATAACATCTTTAAGAAAAAAAATACATAGGGATTCCTGAGTGGCTCAGCAGTTTGGCGTTCGCCTTTGGCCCAGGGCATGATCCTGGAGTCCCAGGATCAAGTCCCACATCGGGCTCCCTGCATGGAGCCTGCTTCTCCCTCTGCCTGTGTCTCTGCCTCTCTCTGTGTGTGCCTCTCATAAATGGATAAATAAAATCTTTAAAAAAAATACACACACACACACACACACACACAGCGATTGTGAATTTGAACCCCATGTTGGATATAGAGATTACTTTATATTAAAAAAAAATGTTTAAGTTCAGATTTTTCCAAATTAGAACAACACAAACAGAACTACCTCTACTTCACATAACATATATACAAAACACTAACTAAGATGGAATGGCTATGACTATTGAAGACAGCATGTAACTGAATCTAAATTCAACTAGAGCTAAATGATCAAACATGCCACTGGATTTCAGACATGGCAAATACTACAAATGAATGCTGTAACATTAAAAGGAGATATGGAAGAGATTGCTGATACTAACAAAAAAGTTTTATACACAGAGAGGTAAGGAGAGCAGAGGACAAAGAGTTTGCTTATTAGTTGGAAGCAAATGCTCCTCATGCCCTCAAGTATCAAAAAAATAATGGGATCAACATACTGATTCTCGTATCATGGAAATTCCAGAGAATGACTCAAAACTTTTAACAGTCTTGACCAAAAAAAAAAAAAAAAAAATTTAAATTCAACAATGGGGTGATCTACCAAAATTTCAGTGTATTTATAGCTCAAAGCCTGTCTACCTAACAAAATGTTCATTTATAATTAAGTTTATAAAATTAGGTAAATATTAATAGACCTAATAGTGTAGACTAAAAACCAATTCCTCAAAAAGACTCAAAACATTTGAAATACTTACAGTACACTCTTGCATCTCTTGCTCCTTGGTTGCTAGTCGCATTACAAGGATGTTTTCTCTGCGAGCAGACTCTTGTTGTTGTTGCTTTAGTTTTTCTTCAGACTCCCTTAAACCAGTTACATCATTAGCTGATGATTAAAAAAAAAATTCAAAATATTATGAAACATAATTGCAAGATCAAGCTGACCTACTCAAAGTTCTGACTGCCTTTAAGGATAATAAAAACAAGGGCAAAAAAATTCACCAAGTCTTTAGTTTCTATCCTAACTACTTTAATAACAAGGAAATTTGTTCTTGATCATGAGTGCACTTTTTAGAAGGTAGTGGTGTACTAATACTACCTAAATACTACATGGAATTGTTATTATTGTCCAATTTACCTCCAACAGAACATGGGCAACTTCATTATCTGCATCTTACAGCATATCCACGAAGTCCTGACTATACTGTTTTTAACCTATCCAATGTAAACATGCCAATAACTGGACAATTATCACTTAAAGCTTTCACAATATTGGGGCACTAGGTGGCTAAGTCAGTTGAGCATATCTGACTCTTGGTTTCGGCTCAAGTCATGATCTCAGGGTCATGAGACTGAGACCCTCATGGTGCTCTGCTCAGTATCTACCTGAGATTCTCTCCATCTCCTTCTGTGCCTCCCCCTAACTCCCGCACATGCAGTGCATGCATGTGTTATCTCTCTAGAATAAATGAAATCTTAAAAAAAAAAAAAGCTTTCACAATATTAATGTCTAAGAATTATTATACAGTCATATAGCAATTGAAATTTATTTCAGGGTATCAAGCTTTCTGGACCTGGAAAACAAAATTGCTTTGTATACTAACAAACAGTATGTTATTCCTAACAATGAAAAGTGACAAAACTAAAATGGTCTTAAAATTAATACACTTTGTTGGTATTATTTTTCAGGTTTTGAAAACCCTGTATAGATATCTGTACCTATAGCCTACTGTTACACTTCAAGCTCTTACAAGTTTATTAGGTGCTACTTCTTATGTACCTCTGTTCTAAGACTACTAATTCATGCTTCACTTCCAATTCTTCTGTGGAAGGAATCAGGGACACATCAAGGAAAGTTTCAAGTAATTTTGAATTTCCCTACTCTCAGACACTTATATGTAATTCTACTAAAACGGTCATACTATTATATGTCGGGTCTTCTCCAAGTGACTTGGTAGGAATTCCTCAAGAAGAAGGATCATGGTTCATTCATCTATTTCGTAACAGCAATACTGTGAGTGCTTGAGAAAGTACTTTAAAAAAATGCTTGAATGAAAATTACAATGGCTTAGGGGCACCTGGATGGCTCAGCTGGAAGACAGTGTGCAACTCTTGATCTCAGGGTCATGAATTTGAGCTCCACATCAGATGTAGCAATTACTTAAATAAAAACTTAAAAATTACAATTGCTTAGAAAAACCAATTATCTTGTGTCTATTACAAAAATCTAAAAGGAGATATTCACATAATCTTCAGGAAGCTAAAACTCAAACTTACAATTAAGATCTGTGTACTTGCCCTCCAAAGCTTGGACATATGCTTCATATTGTTTCCACCTAGTACAAAAATAAGTCCATGTATTAGTTGTCATGTTGATATTCCTTTTATTAAATATACTAGAAAATCACACCCCATAAATTTATAAATTTAAGTAATGCCAAGAATTTCACTACATAATTTTTAACCAATAATAAAATTAGTCACTTCATTATTCCTTCTCAATTTACATTAACTAGGCAAAAGAAAATACAGAAAAAAGTTCTCTGCTGAGAATACACCAAGTATGATCCTTTGAGTCAGTTCATTTGCCTTAAACTAAATAAAAAACTTACTACTTTCAGATATGCTGTTCACCTAAGAAATGTGCCTAATTATAAGGAACTGAAGGTTCTTTATCTTAGCTCTTTTCGGAAAATAACATACAACCAAAGCAGCAGTTCAAAGTAGTATTTATTTTTGCCTGTAAAAAAAAGGAAAAGAGAATATACTATTTTCCAGGACTATTCTTTAAAACATCCCTACTTGGCAGAAACAATCTGCATAAATGACAGACTATCGGAGTATGAGGGAACTTTTCTTCCTTGTTATATTCCTCTACCTTCAAAATATAGGCTATGCTAGCTTGGCAATTATTGTTGAAAACAAGGTCCTGAGTCTTATGTTTAAGCAACTAACAAAAAGTAACCTACCCTGTCTGCTATCCTGATTACCAAAGAGCTTTGTTTTTAAGCTGCTCTTCAGTTACAGCTTATCAAAATTTAGTTGATCTTTGACCAATGCAGGGTAGGGATTTAGGGGTGACAAACCCTGCAGAGTCAAAAATCCATGTGTAACTTTTGACTCCCCAAAAAGCTCAATTACTAATAGCCTACTGTTGACTGGATGGAAGCCTTACCGATAGTATAGACACTTAGATAACGCTGTTTTGTGTATGTATTATGCACTATATTCTTGAAATAGCTAGAAAAAGGAAATATTAAGAAAACAACAACAAATAAACATTTAAAGTACTATACTGTACAAAATCTGCACATAAGTGGACCCACACAGTACAAACCTGTGTTAAAGGTCAATCAGACCTTTGATTTTAGAAAATCTTTCTATAAAACCTCAAAAACTTTGACAGGTTTGCTAGGAGATACATTATTACTGCATAATGAACAAAAAAAATTCCATACTAAACAAATCCATATTTTCCAAAAACACTCCTGTTCAGTCAAAGGGTGCTTATTTTTATGGTGTCTACAACCCAGGACACAAACAGGAGTTTCACCACTTAGTGTTTGGGGATGAATAAAGGCCTTTTATCCTATATAAGAACAATCAATTTTAGAGGGGGCCTGGATGGCTCAGTTACGCATCTGACTCTTGATTCAGCTCAGGTCAGAACCTGGGATTGAGCCCTGTGTCAGGCTATGCTCAGCAGGGAGTCTACTTGGGATTCTCTCTCTCCCTTTGCCTCTCTCCCTACTCCTGCTTGCTCTTGCTTGCATGCACTCTAAAAAACAAATAAATCTTAAAAATTAGAGGAACAGAAAAATATAGAGGTTTAACCAAAAACATCCTTTATCAAGATGACACAACACACAGCATGGTTAAATTAAGTAGCACTTAATTTAAAATCACCAAGAGAATTAATGAGGAAAAACTAACTTAAAAGTCAGACAAGATAATTCCCTAGAGGTTAAACCGACCTCAACAATATAAACTACAGGACTTAAAAATATTAAAAGTAACAACATAAGAAATTGCTGACATGAATTTCTTTTTTTTTTTAATTTTTTATTTATTTATTTATGATAGTCACAGAGAGAGAGAGAGAGAGAGAGAGAGAGAGAGAGGAGAGAGAGAGAGAGGGAGGGAGGCAGGCAGAGACACAGGCAGAGGGAGAAGCAGGCTCCATGCACTGGGAGCCTGATGTGGGATTTGATCCCGGGTCTCCAGGATCATGCCCGGGGCCAAAGGCAGGCGCCAAACCGCTGCGCCACCCAGGGATCCCTGACACGAATTTCTATTAAGATTATATTACTGATTTTTCCCCCTACGAATAAATCAAGAAAAAGACTACACATACTAACCAGAGGTACTAAGAGAATATCAACACTTGAGTGGCAGTATATCACAAGCAAGGGTGTACTTCAGCAGGAGAGGACAAGAGTGTTTTAGACTACTAAGGATTTAAATTTCATGTTCAGGAAAATATATGTATGCAACAAAAAAAACTGTTCTTTGCATGAAGAAGATAAAAAGTTTGTCCACAAGCTGAGCAGCTAAGGAAGGTGAGAAATTATCAGACTCTAGTTAACAATGGAACAGGTCATCTGTGCATGCCTATCTCATAAAACACTTTTTGCTCCCCTACTTCCAGCCTGTTAAATTTACTTAGTTATTCAAGTAAAAGTCCCTTGATATTTCTATAGAAAAAAAAGTTCAATGATTTGGCAAAGGTTGCCCTGAAAAAAATTTTTTTTGAAAAATACTTTCTTTGTACCTAAGTTATCATATAAAAAAATTCACCCAAAGTAATAAAATACAGAACACATTTAAGTTACACAGCACAAAACGTGTTGATTTCATTTTATATTAAAAAAATAAATACCCTTAATGCTATTCTTGACGATCGGCTTTTCAAAGACATTTATAAGACAACCACAAAAATTCAGAGCTTGGAATAACCTTTGAAAATAATTCAACTCCTTTAACTTGCAGGTGAGAAAATGAATATAAAGTTATAGGAACTGACCAAGGTCATAGCTAATGAGAAAAGAGTAACTTTGCTTATCAGTAAATAATTTCTTCCAGGGACCCCTGGGTGGCTCAGCAGTTGAGCATCTGCCTCTGGCTCAGAGTGTGATCCCAGGGTCCTGGGATCGAGTCCCACATTAGGCTCCCTGCTGGGAGCCTGCTTCTACGTCTACCTATGTCTCTAGCGCTCTCTCTGTGTCTCTCATGAATAAATAAGTTTTAAAAATCTAAAAATAATAATTTCTTCCGAAACTAAACACATCATCCTTTAGGACTATTAACTTTTTCACATGTTGAACAGAAAAGGATTAAATAATGACCTCAAAACAAGTCTATATATGTTAAATTGAAAGCATTCTGAGAACAGGGTCTTTCCTGTAGCAGGTTCTACAAATGAAGTACAAATGCTTCAAGTTAAAATTCTGAGATCTTCCCTCTGCAAGAAAAACATTACCTAGCAATCTAGAAGTTATCCAAGTTAGTACTATAGTTCTCTAAAGTGTTATGCTTTCCTCAGTGTTTACATAATGAAGAAACAGACCAGGGATGCCTGGGTGGCTCAGCAGTTGAGCATCTGTCTTCAGCTCAGGGCATGATCCCGCAGTCCTGGGATCGAGTCCCACATCAGGCTCCCTGCATGAAGCCTGCTTCTCCCTCTGCCTATCTCTCTCTGTGTCTCTCATAAATAAATAAATAAATAAGAAAGAAAGAAAGAAAGAAAGAAAGAAAGAAAGAAAGAAAGAAAGAAAGAAAGAAAGAAAGAAAAGAAAGAAAAGAAAGAAAAGAAAAGAAAAGAAAAGAAAAGAAAAGAAAAGAAAAGAAAAGGAAAGGAAAGCAAGAAAGAGACTATAGAAAGTATGTACAAGGGATCCCTGGGTGGCGCAGCGGTTTGGCGCCTGCCTTTGGCCCAGGGCACGATCCTGGAGACCCAGGATCGAATCCCACATCGGGCTTCCGGTGCATGGAGCCTGCTTCTCCCTCTGCCTGTGTCTCTGCCTCTCTCTCTCTCTCTATCATAAATAAATAAAAATTAAAAAAAAAAAAATTAAAAAAAAAAGAAAGAAAAAAGAAAGTATGTACAAACAGTACATTAAATGACTTCAGGATATATTAACATTAAAAACAAAACAATTGGGTAGCCCAGGTGGCTCAGCAGTTTAGCACCGCCTTTGGCCAAGAGCGTGATCCTGGAGACCCAGGATCGAGTCCTGCGTCAGGCTCCCTGCACAGAGCCTACTTCTCCCTCTACCTGGGTCTCTGCCCCCTGCCCACCCCCATGTCTCTCATGAATAAATAAATAATCTAAAAATATATATATCTGGGGATCCCTGGGTGGTGCAGTGGTTTGGCACCTGCCTTTGGCCCAGGGCGCGATCCTGGAGACCCGGGATCGAATCCGTAGGGCTCCCTGCATGGAGCCTGCTTCTCCCTCTGCCTGTATCTCTGCCTCTCTCTGTGACTATCATGAATAAATAAATAAAATCTTAAAAAAAAAATAAAAATAAATAAAAAATATATATCTAACTTGAAAATAATTAATTATAGGCTAGAACCCCAATGTTCTATAGAAAGTATTTTATATTTTTGATAAAAGAACATTTTACCTTAGAATTAACTCATCTCGTGCCATAACTTTGAAGTCTGTTTCACTCAGTCGAACCTATATAAAGAAAATTAAAATATGAATGGACTTGTTCTTCCTAAAGCTTTAAAATATTAAATGCCAATGACTTTTATATTCTTCATAAAGATAGGATCTTAACATTTTAATCCACCAATTGCTCCTTTCCGTTATTAGAAACACCCTTATTACTGGAGACACATAAAATCCTTCCCAAAGGAGCTCTGTGGTGAAACACAGAAAATCTCTCCAGAGGCTCAGATTAAATGGCTCAGTACATATTATTGGTTTTTTAAAAAGTTGTATTATTGTTTTTAAAAGGTAAACTGTTTAATACAGGCATCATTCTTAAGGAAATACAAATTAAAACTCTAATAAACTATCACTACACACTTATTAGAATGGCTTAAAAAATAATAGTAACACTAAATGCTGGAGGAAGATGTAGAGAAACCAAACTTTCACATTTTGCTGGTGAGAATGCCGGTCCAGCTATTCTGGAGAATAGTTTGGCAATTCCTTTTGAAACTAAAAATGGATGTACCACACAACCAACCCAGCAGACATCTCAAAGAAATAAAACTTTATTTTCACACAGAAATCAGTCTATGAATATTCACAGCTTTATTTGTATCAGCCCCCAAACTGCAAACCACCCAAATGTCCTTTAACAGGTGAATGATTAAACTATGACACATCCCTTCCCCTGGAATACTATATTCACACCATTAAAAAGAAACAGCCTATGGATCAACTTGGATAAGCCTCCAGGAAATTATACTGGGTGGAAAAAAAAATCTCAGAAAGTTATATATACTGCATGATTTCATTTGTACATTTGTGAAACAGCATAATTACTGAAATGGAGAACCAATTAGCAGTTGCCAAGGGTTTGGGATGGATGGGGCTATGAAATGACAAAATGGAAGTTTGTGGTAGTGGTTCAGTTAACTATTTTGTTTGTGGTAGTGCTTATAGTAAGTTACATTGTGATGAAACTACACAACTACACACAATACATGTATAAGCTCTGTGTATTGTACGAATGTCAAGTTCCTGGTTTTCATACTGTTATGCAAGATTTCTGATGGTTAATGCAAGATTAACACTGATGAAAGCTGGATGAAGAGTGCACAAAACCTCCCTGTACATTGCTTTGCAACTTCTAGTGTATTAGTAATTATTTCAGAATAAGAAGTTTAAAAAAATTGTTAAAAAATTAAACAATATTCTAGCTAGCTGAAACTGCTTTATGAATTAAGAAATATGAAGTGTTTCTCTATACCAAATAAAGATTGTAAAGGTGAGGTACCTCTTCTGCATTAATATAAAATTAATGCTTTATCAGTTTCCTCTATGAGAAAAATGTTTCAAACCAGTAACATAGCATACTATTATAGAAGAGGGAAAAATCATTGTACATATATATAAATATATATATATATATAAGAAGTCTAACAAAAAGCACACAGTTAATTTTGATGATTAAAACACAGTACAATTCCGTATTTCATGAACAATTTGACTTCAAAACTTAAGACAAATTTCCATAATCCTTTATCATCTAAATTGTTGATTTAAATATTCACTGGTTAATAAGCTCATACCCTGCTTTCCCTTTTGAATTATAAATTGTGGGATGCCTGGGTGGCTCAGTGGTTAAGCATCTGCCTTCAGCCCAGGGTGTGATCCTGGAGTCCCGGGATCAAGTCCCACATCAGGCTCCCAGCATGAAGCCTGTTTCTCTCTCTGCCTCTGTGTCTCTCATGAATAAATAAATAATCTTAAAAAAAAAAAAAAGAATTATGAATTACTTTTAGAAACCACGTTATTTTGTAACTGTGTGTACAATAGTAACTAAACTGAATTAAGTTAGGGAAAGAGAAGAGGGAGAAAATGAGACTAGAAAACAACTTCAGAGGAAAAGGTAGAAAGAATCTAAGTACTACCTGTAACCGTTTGTTGAAAAATAAAGTGGTTTTACCTTACAAAGGCATTTAAAAAGTACCAAAAAAAAGTAATAACTTATAAGAACTTGTGAAAAAATTTTGTTATGTATGTGGAAGTATTTGTATAGTAAAGATTAAGAGTAGACCACAGAGATAATTATAATGCAAGTTTTCCAAAAACTGAAAATATTCTAAAAATACATTGCATACAAGATACAATGTCTGGCACATTATACACCCACATGCTAGTAGTGTTATAAGGCAGAGTGAAAAATAAGCAAATAAAGATGTCCTTTCAACTCTATTAATTGCTGCCCCCTCAAAGGACTTAAAAAAACTGTGGGAAAAAAACATACCTTTTTGGGAAGAGGTTCCTCGTTGGTCATCTTGAATCCTAGAAAAAAGGGGCAGAGAACAGGTTCAACTGATGTTCTTCCAGTTAAGGTAGCAACAAGAAATACTGACTTTTCCAAATTTATTTGGGAACTCAGTTTTGACTAAACCATTAGATTACCCAGCAATAATTTTAGATTACAGAAACGTTACAAAAATATTACCGTGTTCCCATGTACTCTGTATCCACCTTCTCCTTTGTTAACTTCTTATATTACTACTGCTTTTAAGTTACCAAAAAAAAAAAAAAAAAAAAATCCTCTGTAAAAAAGTGTATCGTTCCTATTGATCTTCCCATAAAGGATTGATAGAAAGACAACTTTTCTATGCATTCTTACAGCTCCCCCATGAGAGATCTTACAGAAGTGACATCGTTGTGCTAAAGTCAGACACTGACCTCAGGCAGTATCCCAGGCATCTCGCTGAAAGCCTATGAAGTGTAGTACCAGTTGCTAAGCCTTTCCTTTTACAGCGTGTTGTTACAGTAAGGTAGACAGAATCTTTTTTTTTTTTTAAAGATTTTATTGTAATCATTTGATAGAGAAAGCACAAGCAGGGGGAGTGGCAGTGAAGGAGAAGCAGACTCCCTACTGAGCAATGAGCCCTGTATGGGGCTCAATGCAGGGCTCAATCCCAGGATGGGATCATGACCTGAGCTGAAGACAGATGCTTAACCAACTGAACCACCCAGGCAGCCCAGTAGATAGATTCTATCATCGTGATAATTCACTATTGTACAATGCTTAATACGTGATATATATTTAAATAGGAATTTTTTATTAAGGTATAATTTCATGCCCCAGAATATGTATCTCAAATTGGCTTTAATAAATCTTTGTTTTATACATTTTTACAAAATTTATTTCACTCTATTGCAAACGATAGATCATACAATAGAACTCTCATGAACTTTATTTTTTTTTAAGATTTATTTTTATTTATGAGAGAGAGAGGGGTGGAGACACAGGAGGAAGGAGAAGCAGGCTCCATGCCAGGAGCCTGATGTGGGACTCGATCCCGATTCCGGGACTCCAGGATTGCGCCCTGGGCCAAAGGCAGGTGCCAAACCACTGAGCCACCCAGGGATCCCCTTCTTATGCTTTTTGAAAACACTTCTGCTACTTCCTAATATTCAAATAAGGGGACAAGCTAATTTAAAATTTTTCCTAGGTTTTATTTTCAACAGCATTGTCATGAATTTTCCCCTGATATTTTACACTCCCTTTATATTTATTTTATTTACCCATACTTCTTACACCCCAAGCTATTAAACACTTAACCAAACAGAAAGAAGTCATGGAGATGTGCAGGAAGGTAACTAATTATACTGTATTGCATGTTTGAAAGTTGCTAAGAGAATAAATCTTGAAGGTCTTCACAAGGAAAAAAGGAAAAATATTTTTCTAATTATGTGGTAACAGATGGTAACTAGGGTTACTTGTGGTGAGCATTTCATAATATACACAAATATCCAATAATGTGTACCTGAAACTGTTACGTGTCAATTATATCTCAATTTTCAAAAAATTAGCCAAAGAATTTATAGTGTAAAACTGAATTTTTAAAAGCCACTTGACTTCATATTATTTGAAATTCCTCAGAAGGACATAATCTTCCAATGCCATTTTATGTTACATAGAATTCCCACTCTATAAATCAGATATTCTAAATCACGGACTGCCATTAAAACCTCATTTTCAGACCAGATACAATGTGTTACAGAATTCATCACATTTTAGGGAAAAAAAATCATAAATCGATCATATATTACTGGCTTAATTCTTCCCTCTTTAATAATCTTATCATTGGATGCAGCAAGCAAAAACCTGAGTAATGTCATTTTTTTTCTGAATTACTGAAATTGATCAAATCTTTGACCAATATCTATGAAGATATAACCATATCTTTATGATTTAAGGTCTGTATATTTTCCTATTTTTTTCCTTTAAATTGGTCCCTGTTTACTTTAGACCTCTTGTTGCCCAGTTTATACTCTGTTGGAAGTTAACAGACAGCTGCTTGGTGACTCTAACACGATACCAGTGATTCCAATCATTTGGAAAACAAAACTTCACCATGTTTATCCCCACAGAGGTCTACTTCTATTTTAGTATGTTTAAAGTATATTCACTCTACTTGACTGCAACCTATTGGAACCCAGAAATCAAGCCTGGCATTTCCTTGGAATTTCCCTTTCTCTGAGCAAGACATAATAGGCAAACATTGATTTTAGCCATTTGAACTTTTAGCCATATTTAACTAGTATAGGTGTACCTATATATGCCACTAATCTGATTAAATCCTTCTAAAGGCTCCCCATCTCACTCAAAATAGTGCATGCCAATCCCTGCTGTGATTTCACATCAAGCTTTATTTTTCTGCATCGTTTTTCTTTTTTTTCCTTTAACTTTATTCATGAGAGATACAGAGAAAGAGAGGCAGAGACACAGGCAGAGGGAGAAGCAGGCTCCATGGAGGGAGCTCCACGTGGAACTCGATCCCAGGACTCCAGGATTATGCCCTGGGCCGAAGGCAGCGTTAAACCGCTGAGCCACCTGGGCTGCCCTTCTGCACTGTTCTTATCATGATCTGATATTGTAAATACTTATCTGTTTCTCTCAATTATAGAATAGGCTCCATGAGAACTTTTCATTCACTGCTGATGCTACAGTAGGCACTCAAACGTATGCTGAATGGAAGTATGAACAAATGAATTCGCTTCAATTAATACTGAAATAATAGCTAAATAAGCCAATCTAATTTTTCCCCAAAATAACCAAGATGACCCACTGTAAAATTCTGAGAATAAACGTGAAACCTAATGTAACAGATATCGTGATAAGCCTGCTTAGTGACAGTTTAAAAACAGTTAAATTTATCACTGTGGATAGGCAGTCTACCTGTTAACTAATGGGCACTACAGCTACTCAGAATTTTAGTTATAAAACGTAAGCATTATGGATGTTACTCAATATAAATTCCAGCTTTAAATGCCTCTGCAACATGACACTTTCCCCAGGTTTATTTGTTCATTCTTAATACATATTCATAATATTCCATTAAAGTAAAATTAATTGCCAAGCTTAATTAGCAACAAATAAGCTACACTGTTTTTAAAGGGCACTTAAAGGACTAGGAGAAACATTAAAGAAGTTCTAATAACCCTACTTTTCCGTAAGAGGGTGGCAAACTTTGAAAACAAAACAAAAAAAATGCTGCAGAATTTGAGCCTGTTTCCTCATCCCAAAAAGGATGATCACCAACCACCAATGTTCCAAATTATTAACCTACTTCTAAAGATAAACATTAATCTTTAGCATGGTGACTAGCACAAAATAAGCAATTATTAGTTTCCTTCTCCCCTTCAAAAAAAAAACAAAAACAAAAACTCAATCACTACTTCTTGAAGAAACTGAAGGGATAATTCAGAGGTTGAGAACAATGAAAACATGCTCCTGTCTTTGTTTCTATTTCTAAGTCCCATTGCAGAATTCTTGGTGATCTCCAATTTTTAAAACTCTAAACGGAAGTTTTTTAATTTTTTAACACTGGTTTATGTTCTTTTCTAAAAAGTCTGATGGTGGACAAATTTTAATTATACATCGCTTAAAGAATGTGTATATTTTCTTCAAAAATATAAATTTATTAATTTGTGACATACGTCAAAGACAAATGCAGTTTTTGTATAAAGGCCTATGTTTCGTGTTGACTCTCAGAGTCATATATCATTCCACATGTTACAGGATATGTGACTTGGGAATTCAAAGCATAAGCATTTTGAAAAAAATTCCTAATTTTTAGCTATTGAAAAGTCAATCTTGGGACGCCTGGGAGGCTCAGCGTTTGACCATCTACCTTTGGTTCAGGGCGTGATCCTGGAGTCCTGGGATCCAGTCCCACATTGGGCTTCCTGCATGAAGCCTGCTTCTCCCTCTGCCTATGTCTCTGCCTCTCTCCCTGTGTCTCTCATGAATAAATTTGTTTAAAAATGTCAATCTTTCCTTCAGAGTCCATAATAGGCCACAAGAGTTAAGCAGCCTGGCAAAAGGCAAATTAGAACAAGTTGTTTTCTTTTTTAATATTTATTTATTTATTCAGAGAGAGAGAGAGAGAGAGAGGCAGAGACACAGGCAGAGGGAGAAGCAGGCTCCATGCAGGGAGCCCGATGTGGGACGTGATCTGGGGTCTCCAGGATCACACCCCAGGCTGCAGGCGGCGCCAAACGCGCGTTACGCAAACCGCTGCGTTACCGTTACGGGGGCTGCCCTAGAACAAGTTTAAATTTAAAAGTATCAACATTCAAAAAAAAAAAAAAAAAAAGTATCAACATTCAACTATTTAGCCGAAATAGAGCTTGGTTCTCAAACTTAACTTTCACATTGCATGAATATACTAAGAAAATTATTATTCCCCAAGAAAATTTTTAAATTACAACTGGCAAGCATAATAGTCATCTAAAACAATTCTAGATTAATAAAGATAATATATATCCCAGGTTCTTGGAACCATCTGTTATTTTTGTATCAGAAAAATGGAATAACTAAAATATCTGGAGCTGAATCTTGAATCTTGGGGGGGGGGGTAGATAGATGAATATTTACTCATGGCTGTGAGTCACACACCTAACAATCACAACTTTTCAAAGTTGAAGTTAGCCTCCATTTTCCAGATGATGAACATGATTATGAGTCACTAGGTGATTAACTCTGGTCAAAACAGGTATTAATTAATAAACTGGGGGTTAGGATTCCAAATGCGGCACCTCTCAAAAGTTGGTAACTGATGAAGATGGATTATTCTTCCACTCTCCCATCCTCAACAATGAATAAGCTTCACGAAAGAACACAGAAAAGCAAAAGAGAAAAAACTTAAACTTGGTCAATTTGGCTGCCTTTTAAGAATGTTTACGATTGGTTACAACCAATCTTAAAATTATGTAAACGTTTCCATTATTCACGTGGATTAATCCAGGGATAATTTCTTAAAATTCAGACCTCAAGAACCACCACATACTCTTGATGCCTTTACACTGAGAAACACTTTATGATGGAGAGTTCAGTTTTGGTTGGCTAGGTGCCTAGCATCCCAGATCCCAGTACTTCACTGGCTTTTAGCATTACAATCCTAAATTATGCAATGCAGTTCTCTCTTAGGCGAACACCAGCCAACACAATTTGAGAAACCATGTACAATTTGAGAAACATTAGTTTGAGAAACTAATTATAACTGAACTCAAGAAACTAATAAGCATACAACCCTGGCTCTAGTAAAAAGGGTACCATAGTTAGGAGCTGGATGACCACTTTTTCCTAACTCTTATCAGTCATGGATCTTGAGCAAGTCACTTAACTCTGAACTGCAGTCTCCAAATCAGTGAGAGAGAAAGAGAGAGAAACCAATTTTACCTGCCTCACAGTGTTGCAAATCTCAATGCTCAAGTGCCACAAAAATGTTACACAAAAAGATTTTTCATATAAAATATCAACATCAAAAGATAATTTTAATGTGCACTAAAAAAATCAAACTAAATTTCACCAACTACATTTTCAAGAGTGGAGAATATTTATTTATAGACCCACTTCTAACCTGATGGACCAGCTTAATAATCCAATGGGATATATGGTTATGGGAATACTGAAAAGTTTTTCCGAGAAGCTATCAGAAAACATTTAGAGGTAAACAAATAGAAGATAAAAAAATACGAACAAGCATAAAACCAAACAGTACCTAGATCTTGTTTTGGTAAAAGACCCATCAACATAAAAATTTTAAGAGTAAAATTTTATATTCTTAAATTTTTTTTAAAGCAAGGTAACATACAATTATATGAAAAGACTGCCAAGTACAGGAATTCTATACTACATACATACAAGCATAGAAGGGACTTTTGAAAGCTTTAACGTCCTGCACAAATACAATTATTACAACTCTTGTCTCTACATCGTAGAGCTACTACAGATTTTCTATGTCATATACAGCAACTCATTTCTAACCTTTCTAATATTTTGAGCAGGCATGACTCAAAACTGAATCAGGAAATCCAGACGTTAAGTTCTGATGAGCTGAAGTCAAACAGCAGTGCCTGGGACACACTTCTAATTATTACCTTCCTCCTACGGGTCTTAGAAATTTATGCTTAAGTTCTACCACTGAGAGATTAAAAATACTGACCACTTGGCTATAGCTATTTGTTTAGAGTAAGGTTAAGATCTAACAGAACTCCCAAAATACAGCCACCCAAGCCCTTAAAATTTAACTTCATCCTCATCACATGCCACCTGGCGGACCGCAATTTCCCTCCCCGGCTTGCCTCATTCGATGCTACCGAACGACAGGAGTTAAGTAAAATGTAGGCACCTTGAAAATATTTCCCCACATCGTTGTTGTTTTTTTTTTTTTTTTCCTTACCGGATGTTTGAATGTCGACAATACATGCACCTATCGTAGGAAACTCAATGGTCAGAACTGAAGAATTAAAAAACGAGAACTCTTGATACATCTGTGACTTGTACTTCTCAGTAATGGAATTAACTAAATTCTAGGGGACCCACAACCAGGCGGACACAGCTCACGGCTGTAAATACACTCACGGAAACCCTCTGCTACTCAGGGCCAAAGAACCGTCTTTTTACCTTAGAAACACAATTACTGAGGATTTTTAACACAGTCTTTTGAGATCAAAACAAGAATTTGGGACATTTTTTTCCCACGGATCCTCTGACCGATGCAACGTGGGGTTTCGGAGGAAAAGCAAAGAAAAAAAAAAAACAAAACAGGTAATAACAGCCTGAGAGAGACTCGAGACGAGACTTCAGAAATTTCCCCCAAGCCTCCCTTCTACGGAATTGACAGAGAACGCCTTCTCTGCTCAGAATGCATGCAATCCTTTAAAAATGGAAGTCTCCGGGAGGACGCAGCTGCAGTCATAAGCTACTGCGCGACGTGCAGTGTGGTCCACGGGCCCGTCGGTGCCGCCGACCCGCGGGCTCCGGCGGAGAGCGGCGGGAGGGGGCGACACCGAGGTGGGGACACGCCGCGCACCGAGGGGGCGGCCTCCCCGGTCGCCCCCGGGACGGAGAGCGGAGGCAAAATGGCCTCGGGGAGGCGGAAGTGTCCCCGCGGGCGGGAAGCAGGCGCCGCTAACGGGAGGCCGGCGGGCCCGGGCGCCCCGGCTCGCCCCGCGCGCTCCGCCCGCCCCTTCCCGGGCCGGCCGCGCCTCAGCCCTGGGGACCCGGAGGTCCTCGCGGCCGCTCCCGCCGGCGGCCCGCACCTACCTCTCCGGACGGAGGCCGCGCCGGCGCCGCCAGTCACATAGGCCGAGGCTCCGCCGCCCGCTCGCCGCCCAGGCCGCCACACCGCACCGCCCCGGCCCCCGCGCTCCTCCTCTCGCCGCAGCCCCGGCGCTCCTCTTTATTTGCGGGTCTCGCTGCCACAAAATGGCGCTGAGGGAGGACGCGAGGCCCCGAGGCCCCACCCCCTTCCCGCTCCTCCCGCCGCCCCGCCCCGCCCCGCCCCGCCCCGCCGCGCCGCAGCCTCCGCCCGCCCCGGTCGCCGCCCCGCCATGTTCGCGGCGGCCCACTCACCGAGTCGCCTCGCGGGCGCGGCCGCGGCTGCGGCCACCGGCCCGTCGCTGGGCCCCGCCGCAGGGAGGAAAGGCCAGGGCGCGGCGTCCGCCCGGAGCCCCCAAGCGCTAAGCGAGGAGTTGCGCTCGGCCGACACGCCGCGCGGCCTCGGAGCGCTGCACACTCGGCGGGGGCGGGGGCGGGGGCGGGGGCGGGAGGGGGAGCGGGCCGCCGCGGGGAGGGGTGGGCGGCGAGGTCGGAGGTCAGCCGCGGGGCATCACGGGAAGGGCGGCGGGGGTCGCGATTGGCGGCGCGGGGCGGACGCGCTCGCCGGGCCACCTGCGGCTGCGGCGCGGCCTCCGGCGGAGGAATCCGGGCCGGGCGGCGCGCGATTGGCCGCTGTGTGGTGCAGCGTCCGCCGGTGATGCTTCCGCGCGCTGGTGGGCCAGGTGCTACCCCAGGAGCTAGGCCGTGGGTGGGAGGACGGGCCGCGGAGGCTTCGCTTAGCCTTGCCATTGGAGGACTTGGAAGCCGGCGTTCCTGTGGAGCGCGGCGCCCCGCCGCTCGCGGCGTCCGCGCCTTGACGTCTCGGGGCGGGCTAGACGGAGGGGCTATTGTCTAGCAGATGGGGGGTTGTGCCCGGGTCAGCTGCCCTAGCGCCTCGCAAACCCAGAAGCGCGGGGAAGGCGAGCCCTTGAGTTTTTAATGAACCTTATAAAACACGATTTATAATTTGGATATACTCCCTTTTGCAAGACCTTGTGTCACCCGGGCCATTGCATAAGAACGATGGTGTTACCTGCTAAACGTGAAACAGTCTCTTACACTTCCTACGAGGGTTCAGGTAATTCTTCTGATCTTCCCTTACCCGGCTTTGCTAAGAGTGTTTACCCCTGAAGGAGCTGTCCTGAAATGAGGTGATTTATACGGATAAGATTAAAGTGGACTCCAGGGGATCCCTGGGTGGCGCAGCGGTTTGGCGCCTGCCTTTGGCCCGGGGCGCGATCCTGGAGACCCTGGATCGAATCCCACGTCGGGCTCCCGGTGCATGGAGCCTGCTTCTCCCTCTGCCTGTGTCTCTGCCTCTCTCTCTCTCTGTGACTATCATAAATAAATAAAAAAATTAAAAAAAAAAAGATTAAAGTGGACTCCAGATACACATCTGGTATGTTCCCAGCAAGTGATAATGGAGAACATATTTGCAACTTACATCCCAGGGAATCTTAAAAACGGGAAAAAAAAGAAAAAAAAAAAAAAGAAGAAGAAGACCAAGATCCGAAGAGAATTTTTGGGAAAGAACGTGAGCAGGACAATTCACAGAAAAGAAGAGCAGTAGTCCTTAAACATAAAAGGCTGTTTGTGCTCACTTATAATGGAAGTCACATTAAAATTAAAAGGCCCTGGAGAAGCAGTGCTCATAAGTTTCTTGGTGTCAATGGGGAAAAATGGTTCAAGCCCTATGGAGTACCAAAATTACATTTGCATCTATTCTTGTATCTTGCAATTCTACTTCTGACCCTAACCTTATTCTGAAAATACACTACCACAAATAGAAACAACGTGTAGGCAAGGTTATTCGTTGCAGTGTCATTTTCATAACAAAAGTTCGGAAATAACCCGAGGATCCATTAATAGGGAGCTAGTTGGACATGGTAAAACGGTACAATGGAATACAAAGCAGCCATAAGAAAAGAATTGGGTTGCTTTGGAATGAGTCCCAGGTTATATGGAAAATTGGAAGGATATCCTAGAAACACACGGTTACCTACAGAGGATCGCGGAAAGCATGCAGGGGAAAGAAGTAGAAGCAAGACATCTAATTCTGAACTTCTAGACTTTTACGTAGCCAAAAAGTAAATAAAGGAAACAATAAATCCAATGTTGAAAGCATATTGAAACAAACAAACTTAACTGTAATTCAAATTGGTAACAGCTAATATTGTTACCCATAGAAAAGATTTATTCCTCCAGGGCTTTTGAACATAGTACTCAGGTGACATCTATGGTGAGATATATTCTAAAGATGAAAAAGGACTGCAAAGGAATCTTAGGTTTTTCTCAATGTTTACAATTAATGGCAATACTATTGCTGTGGTTTTTAAACTATATATGTAGATATATAATAGGATAACACAACTAATAATGTCTAACTTTTAAGGGGAGGAGAAAATGAGGTTCAAATATAAAGACCAAGGAAGTTCAGAAAAAGCCTGTAATACATTTAAATTATAAGTATCAATTTGAGCAAATGATTTTAAAAATAAATTTCCTAGTCCTGTCCACTGAAATAGCACTAGGGTGACAAACTGTCCCAGAGGGTTTCCCAGGATGCTGCAATTTCAGTATTAAACCTGGAACTGTCAGAGGCAACCCAGGGTGGTTGGTCACCTTCAGGAACAATGAGCATACTTGCCACCCAGATCTGGTTTCTAAATTCCATTCCACAATAAATAGATCCAAAGCTCTTTGGAAAATTGGCTGATTCCAGTCTGGGGCAGAGAAAGTACAGGATGAGTCAGACATTTTGTGCCTAAATGCAGAGAAAGTGCTTAAGCTAATAAAGATATGTCAACAGGACTTAGGAAAACAGGCAAAACTGGTCTATAGGAATAGAAGTCAAATCAATCATTGGCTGGCGGGGAGAGGGGAACATGACACGACTGGAAAGGAAGAACTTTGGGGGGTTATGAAAATATTCTACATCATGATTAAGATGGTGCTTACCCACATATATATATATATATATGTGTGTGTGTATGTATATATCAACAGTCATCACTACACCACTAAAATGGGTCCACTTAATGTCAACTTTACCTCATATAAGTTATATATATTACTTTCATATACTTAATATGAATTAACTCCCATGTGTATGTAAATTATACTTCAATAGTGTGGAAATAAATGAAGACCAGCCAAAAGAGAAAAGCAAAGGCTATTTATTCGGAGCCCGCCATGATACGAGAGTCAGCCACCATCACTTGCATTTTGGCAGAGACTCAAAGGTAGGCATGGGAGTGGGAAAGCTTCAGAGAGGAAAAAAGGAATGGCTTCAGGTGGGCCCTGTTGGAAGCAATAGGCATGGAAAAGCTGAAGGTGACTAGGAGCAGGGCATCCTATGCGATTGACCAGGAGTGAGATTTGACTTTCTCTGATTAAATCTGTGGTGGACGTGGGGATGAAAATTAGAGAAACTGTGAATTTTTAATCAAGTCCTGGTCATTTGGGGCTACAGAGAAAAGAAAAAAAAGAAAAGTTCTTTAGAACTTAGAACTAAGTTCTTGTTTATCTGCCTGAATTCTTACTTGCAATGGCAATCTGACTTCCTCTCCAAGTTAGTCTTACAGGAAGCTAGCTGGCTTCCTCACTCATTAGTGCACATAAGGGGCAGGTTGCTGCAGGTTGTGGGTCAGAATTACATATTTTTAAAGATTTTATTTATTTGAGAGAGAGAAAGCATGAGTAGAGCAGAAGCAAGCTTCCTGCTGAGCAGGGAGCCCCACATGGGGCTCCATCCCAGGACTCTGGGATCATGACCTGAGCCAAAGCCCCACACTTAACTGACTGAGCCACCCAGGTGCCCCCAAAATTCTATTTTTATCTATAGTCTGGTCATATCCATTTGTATATCCAGTCTTCAAAAAGTACATTTTTAAAGGACACAGGAACCAACTTGAAGCATCTGCCACAGGCCACATTCAGCGCAATTTTAACATAAAAAGGAAATGGCAACAATTAATTGTAAATACTGAATAGATGAAAATCTATGACCCTACAGTTAAACTTGATGAAAGACAGGGTGGAGAACAATTTTCCATCATTGGAAATGACTGTTACATCAAATCACTCTGATAATGAGCTATTCACGCTAACATAGTATTTGCCCTCCCTTTTGTTTGTTTATTGAAAAAGAGAATTGTGGTTCACTCCTGATTTAATAAGGAAAACCTCTTCTTTACAATAGAATGCTAGCAAATAAATGTAGAATAAATAATGTAATTAGCAAATAACTAGTATGCAAATCTTAAATAAGTCAAGGATCATTTATGGACTTTAAAACCTTTAGATGACAGATTGTTGGGAAATGGGAGCATACATTTGAAACCAAAATAACATTTCTCAGGTTATTATCTAATTGTGAAGAGAATATATATGTATAGTGGAGTCATCTGGTGGTCACCATCTGAACCAAATGAACAAATTTAGAATCTGTAATAGTGGGAAAACCTCCAATTTACAGAAAATAGTAAAAAAAAAAAAAAAAAGTAATGGCACTAGCAAAAATATTCTCCCCAAAATTTAATGAAACTGTAAGCAGTAAGTATTTATTGAGCACCTGAGTTAGGTCTAGCACAGTCCTCAATATCAATATCCACCCAACTTTAAGCTGCAATATCTTTTTTTTTAATTTATTTATTTATGATAGTCATACACACACACAGAGAGAGAGAGAGGCAGAGACACAGGCAGAGAGAGAAGCAGGCTCCATGCACCGGGAGCCCGATATGGGATTCGATCCCAGGTCTCCAGGATCGCGCCCTGAGCTAAAGGCAGGCGCCAAACCGCTGCGCCAGCCAGGGATCTCTTAAGCTGCAATTTCAAAAGAGTTACCAAAGTGTGCTGAAAGTTACTTACATTTGACTGTTTTATTTATTTTTAAGATTTTTAAATATTTATTCACGAGAGACACAGAGACATAGGTAGAGAGAGAGGCAGGCTCCATGCAAGGAGCCTGATGTAGGACTCAATCTCAGGACTCTAGGATCACGCCCTGGGCCGAAGGCAAGCACTTATCCACTGAGCCACCCAGGCTTCCTATGTTTGGCTGTTTTAAATAGCACATGCTGTTGAGTTAGACTGATGTGAAGTAAATTGGCCAGTTCTTTCCCGTCAAC